CTCACACCTTCTGAGATCCGCTTCAGAGTCCGATGTGTTCCCCAGCGATATATGTCTCGCTGGCTCCTTTAAGCTGTCCTCGGCTACGAGTGGTGCGGCTGCCGGAGGGTGCCGCTCCACTCCTTCCCTCCCCGGCGAGAAAAACGTTGGCGATGAGGCCAATGCTGAGGTGGTGTTACCAGAGCCGGGGGCGACGTCCTGAGGTCCCCGCTGAGCTTTCCTTGCGCGCCTGATATGACGTCGCCAAGCACGAAGAAGGGCTGGGCAGTTGGTAAGGTTGGCAGCGGGCTCCCAAGTCGCGCGATCCTCTGGAGCACCACGCCATTTGACGAGATATTGGATATCTTCGTCTGAACCGCGCTGGTCGAGGATATAGTCGACCTCGTAAATATCGGTGGGAGTGCCGTCTGGACCTGTCACCGGCAACCGCCAAACAGCGGCTTCTTTGGACTTCATCTGAGGGTCGCGTGGGCGGTCGGGAACAAGCTGAGAGACATGAAAGGCATTATGACACGTGTACGTCGGCGGGAGCTCGATGCGGTAGGCGACCTGGCCGATTCGTTCCAAGACCGCGAAGGGCCCGAGAAACCGCGGCTCGAACTTGGAGCATTGGTTGAGCCCCGGAAGATTACGGCTGCTTATCCAGACCCGATCGCCTGGGTTGTATTGCGCATCTCGTCGGTGAGCGTCTGCATAGCGTTTCTGCTGCCACTTCGCCTTAATAATATGACTCTGGGCCCGGTCACACAGCTGCTGGAACAGCTCGGTCATAGGCGGGGTCAGGGTGGGCGCGATATTACCAACGACATTAAGGTCTGCTGCTGTGACAGGATTCTGACCGATCATAACTTCGAAGGGACTGAGCTCTGTGGAGGAATGACTGGTGGTGTTGTAAGCGAGCTCGAGCGCTGGTAGCAGGCGCTCCCATTCACGTTCGTCCGTCTGAATGTACGTGCGGAGCATCTGCTCCAACGTGCGATTGACCCTCTCCGTCTGACCGTCGGATTGCGGATGATAAGGGGAAGACATTGCGCGCTTGATGTGAAATCGCTGACAATGCTGCTGCCATAGCTGGGATTGAAACCGAGGATCACGGTCGGAAATCAAGACATCCGGGAATCCATGATATCTAATTAGTCTATCGGCCAAGAGTTCGATGGTATCCGCTGTGGATGCAGACTTCTTCGTGGGAATGATGTGTGCCATTTTGATGAGCGAATCAACGATAACGAGAATGCAATCATCTCCACGGGGGGTGAGGGGCAGGTCTGTTATAAAATCAAGGCTAACGTGGCTCCAGCGGCGCGAAGGAACGAGGAGCGGTTGAAGAAGACCTGCTGGCTTCTGCGATAGCGCCTTAGATGCGTGACACTGCACACAAGACTCGACATACGCAGCTGTATACGCCCTCACTCCTGGCCAGTAGTAGAGCTTACCGAGAGATAGAAACGTCTTCCGTTCGCCACGATGTCCAGCGGTAACGTGGTCGTGGTGTCGATAAAGAAGATGGGATAGGAATTCCGGAAATGTAGGAGGACAGATGCGCCAGAGGCCATGTACGCAGATGTATAGGTAAGGGCAACAAAACTTAAAAGTATATCTGCGACCCTGTAGCTGGTGGGGAAGCTCTTCTTCGTTTTGATGTGCTGCAGCCAAGACGATTTCGCGAAAGTGGGGGCAGCGTAGATATGCGTCTTCCCAACGTTGCGACGACAGATATTCCTGCGCTGATGGAGATCCCGAGGCGAGTTCCGCTGTCGCGAGCGAGGCGGCCTGATCGTAGGGCGGTGAGGAGGGTGAGACTGCAGGTGTAGTGCGATCGCCTGGTTTGGTGGAAGGTGGAAATTGCTGCTCTGCCGATGTCACTTCCGAGGATGCAGCGGGAATCGAGACTATCGGGTCTGCTGAAGAGGACGACGCCGTCTTCTTCCCCGTACAGGACGAGCGTACTCCTGCTATTGCACGGAAGTTGATGCTGGGCGCATTCCCAGTAGTGGAGCGGGTGAAATATCGGGAAGTCGGAGGCGGGCTTCCCTGCTGCGATGAGCTAAGAGCGGCGAGGTAATTGGTGGTGAAATCGAAGTCATGTGCATGTGCTGCGGATGCCGGGAGAGCGCGTCCGCGACCTTGTTATGTGCGCCTTGCAGATAGGAGATGGTCAAGTCGGGGAACTCTGCCAGGAAGTCTAACCATCTCGCCGTGCGTCCGCGTAAGGGCTTCTGCATATTGGTACGTTGGAGGTACGTGAGAGCCTGATGGTCGGTGTAGGCAGTGGTCTTGGCGCCTCGGAGAAGAAGGCGCCATTTATCCAGGGCTGATATGAGTGCAAGGAGCTCCTGATCGTATATGGAGTACTTCTGTTGAGCCGGGCTCATAACCTGGCTGAGGAATCCCACCGGCTTGCCTTCCTGTTCTAACACACCGCCAGTAGCATATCCCGAGGCATCTGTATAAAGTGTGTAGGGCTTGCTCGAATAAGGAACCTGCAAGGTCGTGAACTCGGAGACGAGA